CGCGGATGAGGGGGCGTGTCAAGAGGAAATGAAACTGCGGGTGCCAGCTCGTCTTACGGAATGATATCGCTTACTAGCTTCAATAACTGGTGGAGAACGGGCTGGCAGCTTGCCAAACGCGACCTCACTGACGCGCTCCTTCATCTGCAACGAACAAGGACTGACGGGATGAATGAGCAGTGTGGGTGTGGGAATTCACATCGGACCCTGGTCTCCATCAATACGGTCAGAATTGGTCGAACGACGTGCCTGGAAGTTCAGAGTGAAAAGGCCTTCCAGTGCCGGAGTGACTGTCTCCAGGAAGCTGCTCCCGAATGAAGATCCCTGGGAAGTTTGTAGAGGCGTGCTTCTGCCATAGTGGAGAGAGCGGCGGATGGGAGCATCGCATGAGTATTTTACCCTTAGTCGTCCATGTACCTCGCTGCCCTGTATGACGTAAACTCGATTGAGTTCCATGGAAAAAGATGTTTTCTTTTGCCCCTCCCTCCGCCCCTTCTCTTCTGTAGGGACGCTGCTTTTGGGTGTATGCACTTCTTAACAAAGAGGTACCAATTGGTGGCGTATAGTGGGTTGGATCCGTGTATACTATGGTTAACTGCAATAAGTACCGCTTTCAGTTGGCGTTTCCGGAGCGACTTAGTGTAGTACAGTGGTATACTCCGTATCCCAGGAATGTGGAGGGCGTGGCCGCGTACTTCACTTGAACATGAGTAGTATGCGTTTTTCATGGGTACTTCCGTTTGAGACCGCTGTCATTCTGCTTTGTATTCGACAAAGACATGATTACAGTTGTCCCAAAACGGCAATATTGCCACCAAAAGCGCCGCAGCCGTCACATACAAGTGAAGTACGCAGCCACGCCCATCCTATCTTCGGGATATCCAGAGTACATCACTCGCTCAACGGTGGCTGCGTTCTTATAGCTAATCTATGACCGCTTTCGAAGCTGTAACTGCACAGTTTAGAGTTGCTCCTTTTTCCGAGCATTGCTGGTCCCTGGCATAGATGGAGTGCTTCGAAATTGAACGATCAATTCGAGTGAAGAATATTATTTTCAGAATTCAACTAGCCATAGCGATACAGAACATCCTTCGTATGGATTATCCGGATAAGTGGCCGGGTTTCATGGACCATCTTTCGACGAACTTTCGACGAAGATCTCGAATCCTGCTAATGCATCAGTATTATCTGCGGGTCTAATTGTTCTAGTAGCACTGTCGCCAAGAGTTTTACGAGTAATTCTTCAGTTTAAATATTCCCACTCACAGCTCAGTGTACTGACAGAAATCTGCTTTAAGGTTCAAACGAAGCAAGGAGAAGGAAGCAATCGCTGGACCTATTTCTAAAAATTGAGCCTCTGTATTCTAAGCCATTGGTAATCAGATGCTCAATAATCAGTCTGGCTGAAGCTGTAATTATAAAAAACAAGGATTGAAAATCATCTACGTATTGACTCAGGTTGGCTGCATGTGCTATTATTTGTCACGTATGAGGTCAATATTTGGTCCTGCCACTACTTATCCTTTGCTGCCTGAATTTATGAAACTTACACGTTTGTCGCCGGAGCTGTCGTCTACATCGGAGGGCGAAAAGGGTCGCTCTGGCGACAGCTGCGTATTCTCATGCCGTCTACCCTCTCTCGTACATACCCGCTACCTCTCTTTTGTCTGGATTCTTGCCGCCTTCGCAGCAACGCCTCCTGCTGTTTCCAGATATAGAGTGTAGAATCTTGAATTCTCGTGATAGCCTTTAGAATCTTGCCAACGATACCTGAGAGGAAATAGGACCCATTTTTCGGAAAACTGGACAGTGAACGGCAATTGGTTGTTTTTCAGTTCTCTATTCATTTCGGAATGTTGCCTATTGAAAGGCTTGATGATTGGATTCAATTTTCAATAAGCAATCTCTCTCTAGACTGTCCAGCTGAGGTAGGATTCTGAACAAAGTACGATTTCTAACTATTCAACTTCCCATTTAATTTTTCTTTTAAGCTCGACACTATCGAAGATAGGGAGGAGCGTGCCCATACGGTATGGTGGAAATGCAAGAAATGGGCAATAAAGCTGTTGGATCGCATTTTTGACAGGTATTCCAAGAATCACAGAGTTTTCATCAGATCTTGGAAACTTTTCTTAAGCATCAATATTTTGTGCGGGTTTTGCAGTCTGTACATGGAAGTTGATACCTTTTCCAACTTGGAAATAACTGGCTCATTCGGGCCGGAAGGGAGGGTTTGAGAAGGAATGGAAGGGGGTCCCGCTCTAAGAGCGCGTTCAGACTTCGCGATCGCGCGATCGCTGTGATCGCGCGATC